CTATATTATAGCTCTATAAATGAAGCACACAGACTTTATTAGAGCCACAGAAAGACAAACGTTTCGCTGAAAATGCACAATACACAATTCATCATGCACATTAACAACGATTAACGTTTCATCATCAACGATTAACAACGACAAATATAATGTAATTTAATGGAAAACCATGTGAATGGCGCGGCAGGATTTTCTGTCGGCTGTATTTAAATTTGCGACTGAAGTTTCCCGCTCTGTTCAGCGTGCAGCATCACGTGTCTAAACAAATCGCACGTGCTGTCAGTGATTTCAACCACTAGAGGCCGCTCTCGAAATAGCACGTGCTGTCAGTGATTTCAACCACTAGAGGCCGCTCTCGCACTGTATAATGACAGCAGACCCTTCTCAGCCGCTCCAGCAACGGACGCAAGCCGGAAAACTATCGGCATGGATTTTTGCCGATAACCGATAGTTCCAGCAATCAACTATCGGTGCCGATTAATCGGCAAAACCGATACATCGGTCGACCTCTAGTTTTAACTATAACGGCTGCCAAGATTAACTAATGGTGAAAAGTGTTGATTACAGCATTATATTTAGAGCTACTCCTGTTGCATCAAAGGTTGCACTGCTGCACTGTAGTCGAACAAAATCACGTCGACTGAGCACACAATGCAATGCGATTTCTGCAATCCCACAATTTTTTTCATCATAACTAACACAGTGAAAGCACAGTGTGTGTAAGAGGCTCGTTGAGCAGTGTAATCTGTGTCATCACAGCAGAAATCAAATTGCTGATATACTCGCGATGTTCCAGCAATTATAAAAAGAACAGTCTTTGATCACTTTCTGTTTAAAAAAAAATTGAGAATTGTCTGCATTTAATTGCGTCACTAATAAGCATATCAAGCTCAGTGGTGACCTTAATCACTAGTCTGAAAAATAAAACCAGATACGGTGATTAAGCCCCTGAATCAAAGTGGAGGAGCCTTGCATCACCCTGAAAAGGGTTTATTTTGCATTTAATGGCCTCCTTTTAAAATGAATTGAAAAGTAAGTGTCTTAGTGAGGTCCTTGCACGTTCAGGGCAAAAGCGTGGTCCGCCATTTTGAAATGATGAATGCATTTGTGTGTTATTTGATAAGGTGGAGGATTGTGAGAAAGCGTACTTCAAAATGGACAATGTCCTGATAGATGACCGTCGCATTCATGTGGACTTCAGCCAGTCAGTGTCGAAGATCAAATGGAAAGGCAAAGGTGAGTCTGTGCCGTTTATATAAAAGCATCACCTGTGAAGTAATGAAAATATAACCAATTTCTGCTGAATTTTACTTTACCGCTCAGTCTGTCTTGTTTATCTACATGCTAAATGTTAACGATAGTGAATCAAAATGATATACAAAGCTTTTAATGCAACTAAATCTAATGTATAAAACGGAGAGTTCCGGTGCTTGATTCTGATTGGCTGAGCCGCGTTTGAAGCTGTTGTAAATTACTCTACAAAGTAACATACACCTTTGTTTACTTCTGTGTGTTGCTCGGCAACCACTTTATTGGAACCACAACTGTTTCTGAGGAACTACATTGTTTGGTGGAAGAATACTGTTTAATATCATTACACTTATTTGCTCTGCTCGTGCCTAACAACGCCCCTTAGCTGTTATAAATTCACTGTAAACCACGGCTTCTTGAGGCTTATTGCTTTAGTATACAGTAGTTCATATATTGGATAAAGAGTGGTTTTATTGTCAGTATGTCTCGTTTCTAGGTGGGAAGTACACCAAGGAAGATTTTAAGGCCTACGAGAAAGACCTGGACAACAAGTCCAAACTGGCTTTGAAAGACAATGTCAAAACCAAGAAGGAGTATCCTTCTGATAATCTCTTTACTTTTAAATCATACTTGGACAATTGTACTTCACTTTGTAGGATTAGCACTTTAGATTTTATATTTAATTTAGTGAACTCTCCAAAAAGCATATGTGATACTTTGCAGAGATGAATCAGGCTTGAATCACAGGTTTAGTATTTAGTTGTTACCCATTATTGCGTTGTTTTAATTTTTGTCAAAAGTTCAATATGCTGTGTACTGCATTTTGATTAAATGCATTGCAAATAGTTCTCCTCTGGAATAACAACATGCACTTGATGAATCATTTACAGTAAGACCAGAAACATGTTAGAAAAGCTAAGAGGGTCCAGTTTGATTTGTCAGATCAAGATCAAGTCAGTATTTCTTGACTGTCTCCTAAAGCTCCCGTTATGAGCTTCTCTTAGATGAAGATGAGGATGAAAGAAGGAAGGACGACAGAGAGAAAAGAGACCGGAAACGGCATTCAGACGAGAGGCCCAAGGACAAGAAGTCAAAGGTACAATTCTGTGGATTTGAATAGATGACAGGTTTTGCTCCAGGAGCCAGATTTTACTTTTGGACATCCAATTATGTCCCTATGAGTCCCTGTGGCACAGCTGCCCACCAGAGAGTGAAAGGAAATGAATGGGATCTTATGGCATCCTCTAATAGTGATTTGAGAACCAAAAAATGGACTTTTGTAAGTGTCTTACTGGACCATTTGGCTATACAGGAATATCAGGCTCAGCCACATGACCCAGCCTCTTTTTTATAAAATTCAATTCAATTCAAGTTTATTTGTACAGCGCTTTTCACGATACAAATCATTGCAAAGCAACTTTACAGCAAATTAAGTTTCTACAATATTTAGTGGTAGCTTATCAGTGGTGACTGTCAGTTAATGTACATATGGCAGAAATGTATGGAAAAATCAATTAAAGACGTAATAAAATAAAACAGTCAGTACTTTTATCAGCCCAAGAGGCAGGAAAACAGCAGGAAGCAGGAGATAGTGATGGTAAACATGAGCTTATTGTTGATTGAATAATCTTTGTTGTGTCTTCCTCAATGATCAACCCAAAGCAATGGAAAATTACTGCTTCACAACATCATGCTGTGATGTTAAAAAAACCTCGAGATGGAGACATTCACTTATCTCCAGCTGACCTGTGAGGGCAACATAGCACACGACATTAGATGATTTAAATAATAATAAATAATTTATGCATTTAGCAGACAAGTGCATTCAGGCTATACATTTTTTACCAGTATGTGTGTTCCCTGAGAATCGAACCCACAACCTTTTGCGCTGTTAACGCAATGCTCTACCACTGAGCCACAGGAACACATGATATACAAAATCTTTCTATTTCAGAGAAATTGCTGTTCTTTGGAATTTTCTGTTTTTCAAAGAATACTGAGGGGGAAAAAAACCTGTACACAGTTTTCTGTGAAATAGGAAAAGGATCTGCCGCCCACAGTTGATTTTGATATTCTAGGGTTTGAGATCGCAGCGGACGTGAAGGACTATAATGCGATATGAGCTCGCTCAAGTACAGAGGAGCTAAACCATTCAGGGCTTTATAAGTAATTAGCAAGATTTTAAAATGTATTCGTTGTTCAATAGGGAGCCAGTGCAAATATGGACATACTTCCTGGTTCTAGTAAGATCTCTAGCTGCTGCATTTTGCCCATTAAAGCATAACAATAATCTAACCTTGAGGTCATGAACGCATGAATTAACGTTTCTGCATTTGCCATTGAGAGCATAGGTGGTAATTTAGATATATTTTTTATAATGGAAAAATGCGGTTTTACAAATGCTAGAAATGTGGCTTTCGAAGGAAAGCTTGCGATCACACACCTAGGTTCCTAACCGATGACGAGGAATGAACAGTCCTGTCCTAAACCCTATTGAAAGTCTTGAGGATGTGCTGGAGTCCACATTACAGAGTGGCTCTACTCTGCCATTGTCAATACAAGATCTCAGACAAAGATTAATGCAACTCTTGATGGAAATAAATGCTGGGATGTTGTCACAATGAATGCACAATATAATCAAAGCTAAAGGTTGTCCAGCAAAATACTAGAGAGTGTAATCATTTTTTTTTTGCACAGGCATTGTAATAATAATAAATAATAATTCATTACATTTATATAGCGCTTTTCTAGGCACTCAAAGCGCTTTACATTGTCAAGTACAAGTTTAAATTGTAAAGTCAACTCCAGCAGCACGTTCCAAAGACATAGTGGGGTTTATCTGTGGTGGCCGATCTCTCACAGTTTGAGCCTTTTACATTGCAATAATGACATTATGTATACATTTAAACATTTGTAATGCTTCATTTCTGGGTGTAAGGCCACTATGGGCCTCTCAAAAAGAGCGCTGGCTTCTTTTGGGTGCGCCATTGTCCTTCTTGTAACACAGTATGTAAATAATTTATCATTGCTCTTTTTTTTTATTTTTTATTGTTGCTCTTGGCAGCCAGTAATTTGTTGCACATAACACGTGGTCAGCACAAACCACATCAATCCTCATTGCAGTTTAACCTGTATTTATTGTGGTCTGCTCTTGTCATGCAGCTTGGCAGATGGCAGTGACGTTGATTGGGCACACAACCTTTGATGCCAAAAACAAAAGATAGCGTTTTCTCCAATTTCAAACCTGTTAAGCTTATTTAATTTGCTATCCTAACTATACATGGTTATAAAGTTAGTTGTGATTATTTGCATTTAGCATAGTTTTTCCCATCAGAACAAGCATGCATCCCATTTATGGGTAACCACTGGTATAACTGTTGCTTTATCAGGGAAAGGAATATTTTTTTTTATGCTCATCATGTAGAAATTCTCTATATTTGCGAATCAGTTACTAAAAATCTGTCTCGTTTTTCTGGGAGCAGCCTTCTCCGTATTCTCTTCCGTGTCTCATCATTTGTTTTCTTTTTTTTTCTCCTGCTTTTATAGGATCGTGATGAGAGTCGGAGAGAAAAGGATAAAGGCAGACAGCGTTCACGTTCAAGAGAGCGAGAGAGACACAAGGAGCGCGAGAGGGGCTGGGACAAGGGAAGAGAGAAGGAGAAACAGAGAGACCGAGGCCGAGAGAGAGACGGCGAACACAAACGCTACAGACGAGATCGCAGCCGCAGCCGCAGCCCTAAGAGATCGAAGTATTACAGCTGACCACCATAACTGTTACTGTGTCAACAGAGCAGGTTTCCTAAGAACTTCCTGATTTCAGCTGTGAACGATGTTAAAAAACACCTTGTGATTCATTTTTTACATGTAAAGTAAAATCTGTCCATTTGTTTGCAAATTGAGGCAATGCTTGTGAAGTTCTAAAAGGTTTGTGGAGTTGTTGATGCATATATATCTAAGAGATCGAAGTATTACAGCTGACCACCATAACTGTTACTGTGTGTCAACAGAGCGGGTTTCCTAAGAACTTCCTGATTTCAGCTGTGAACGATGTTAAAAAACACCTTGTGATTCATTTTTTACATGTAAAGTAAAATCTGTCCATTTGTTTGCAAATTGAGGCAATGCTTGTGAAGTTCTAAAAGGTTTGTGGAGTTGTTGATGCATATATATGGACTGCAGGTGAAGGTGGAGGAGGTGAAAATGGAATAAAATCAGTGACAGAGTTGTGCTCAGCTAAGACTGTCATGCAATTGAGTCGTTACAAGTGAACTCATTTCTTGTTGGTTAAGATGTTTCGACAGAAATATTTCAGCATTTATAACTGAACTTCAGTGGTGAGCTGTTTGGCACTGTACAAATCCTACTGTGGTGAAGGCTTAGCTCATGAATATTAATCTGGGTGAATTCATGCAAAGGGGGCCACTTTATATTAAATTTGTAATTAACCCAGATGTTCCTTTCCTTTATTATCTTTGAGATTCAGCTGTAATATTTTCATTTGAATTCACAGCATTTTGATGAAAGTCAAATGTAAAAAGTGACTAACACATGCAACTAATAGGCTAAGAACAAACGAAATAAGAGGAACATTTAAAATGTAATATTGTCAAACCATATAAAGCTGTATTTCACTTCTCGCGTACTTTTTTAAACTCCAGATTCAACTTCATGCATCGCCAACCTCTGCACTTCTGCTCTTTCCTTTCTTCCATATCTGACCTGAATTTCCAGTCTACACATTTGTTTTTTAAAGGGTTAATTATATAAGCTGATTATAGAATAATCAGTGAATGTCAGATTATTTAATGAATGCGAGTAGAATTAGTGACGGTTCAAGGTTGCTCACTTTATCGAGCACATTCAGTGGGCCAGCAATATTCAACCACCTTACAAGAAAAACTACATTTACCAGGGTCTTATTGCATCAGCCAAAACTACTTTATCATTTGAAGAAAGCGTGTCCCTTTAATTTAAGATCATTGTTATGCTCTGAAGGTGTAAACTCATTGAGCACAGCACAGTCGAGCTTAAATGCCCTTTTTTTTGAAAAATTGATCAAAATGAAGTGAGTTTACAATTAAATTGAACCAATATCTGCCAGTGGAGCTCAAAAAAAAAAATCAAACTTATTCAAAGGGAAAACATGTTTTCTTACCCCAATGACACATTTGTTCTTGTTTTAAACTCTATTTCGTCCGATTCAGAAAACAAGACTTCATATTTCCAGTTTGCATCTCAAGTAAATGTATCTTGATTTAAGGAGGTTTAGATATTGGTACTGAAAAAAAAAATATATATGATTTTTTTTTTTTTTGCAGTGTATGCATAATTTTATGTTCTGGTTTATCCCCTGGTTTCAAAGACGAGGCTTAAGCCTAGTCCTAGACTAAAATGTAAGTCTGAGCCGTTTCAACTGAAAGAAACTTGCACTGATTGCTCTTAAAATAGATCAGTGCCCTTGTTTTGTCTCAAGATGCACACAAGTAATGCTTTC